CATAAAAAATACAAAAGCTGTGTGCATTGTGGTTTACACTCATGAACACCTTTGAAGGCCAATACAATACTTGTATATTTTTAAACCAGTAGCTAAAACTGAATGAATATTAAACATCTTAAAGTCAAAATATTTCAATCAGAATTAGTATTTAAATTCAGTTTGCTGTATTGTATTCAGAATTCCTTGTATAATTTTAGAAACAGCCTTTAAGTGACTATTATCTGAGCAATCGTATGAACATATATTGTTAGGAATATATGGCCTTGTTAATTTTATCTGCTGTTTATGTAGTTGGAATAAAGAGTTTGACTATACCTTGCCATTGTGTGATATTTAATAAAGGATTAACAGGTCTGTTGGTGTACTTTTACAGTACTTACCTGTGAACATCTAGCTGGTAGTTGACCATCTCAGCAATGGTCTGAGCGTCTGCTGCAGAGCCGGACAGTGCACAGTAGATCTTGTCATGGAGAGGAGACAGTTTGTTCATCACCCTGTTCACCACTGACGCCCTGGATGGAGGGATGAAGAGAGAGAGTGTGTGTGTGTGATTGTGCAGTGGAGATGTTGATATAGAGGGAGAAGAGGACATACTTAATGTAAGGAAACATCGAGAGGTAGAAGAGTTTTCTTGAGAAACTAATAAAGATAAAGATACACTGATCAGCCATAACATTATGAGCACCGACTGGTGAAGTGAATAACACTGATTATCTCATTATCATGGCACCTATCAGTGGGTGGGATATATTAGGAAGAAAGTGAACATTTTGCCCTCAAAGTAGCGTGAGGATTTGAACAACTTTGACACTCTTTCCAAAACTGCAGCTCCTGTGGGGTCCTCCGGGTCTGCAGTGGTCAGTACCTATTAAAGGTGGTCCAAGGAAGGAAGAGTGGTGAACTGGAGACAGGGTCACTGATGCAAGAGGGGAGCGAAGGCACCAGGGTGCCCAGGTTGTCATGATGTTATGGCTGATCGGTTAATACATATGCAGATAGAACTGGAGACTACATACATGCACACTCTGTTACTTACCCTGCAGACACTCGGGAATCAGACCCCAGCACGACCCCTCCATTAAACTCAATGGCAATGATGGTTGTCTACAAACAGAAGTAAAAGTAATAAATATTTAAAATGTATTATATGCACCCGCAATTCCGCAGAGTACTCAGCGTTGCGCACATAAAAAGGCACCAAGTCTCTCAAAAACATTGAGAATGTCATACTTACTCCGGTTTTCACCTCCTCAGACAACCACTCTGGCCCTGTTTCCTCCAACATGCTGACGCGCCGCAGAGACTCCGGTAATAACGACAACAACGACCGTATCTGTCTGTAAGTATCAGTGACACCAGAGGTAAACCGACACGTTCAGACCCGGTTATATATTGTTTTCTTGTTGTTGGAAACCGTCTTTACAGCCTTAAAACTGTTTTCGGCGCGTTTTATTTGTCAAATTCAACAATCACACATCAGACGGACTCCATGTTTTCCTGAATTAAATCGAAATTGAAAGTTAAATTGTCCCTCCTCTGCGTGAGCAGCGAACCAGTCTGAGCTTGTACGTATTTCAAACGCACATTTAGTCTCAGTGAAGTTCTCTTTTACTGCACTTTGTGATGGGATATCATCAAATATTCTACATACAATATATGCACTATAAATCTTAAAGCCTTAAAATGATACAGAGCAACAACAGTAAATTACTGAACACATCACAAATCCTTTAATATGTTTTGAAGCAATGAACTCAAATAAAGAAATAAGAACAATTAGGTTTTGGAAATGTATATCTTTATTTTATTTTCACACATAAAATAGCTACACATAACACACAAAAGGCTAAAAGAAACCTTCTGTTATAATGGACATTATTATGTTTTTGACTGTGGAATGATTTTATATAAACTAGCCTGCATCTTATCATAACAACATAAACTCCACCGTTTCCAGGCAATAACTCATTTTTCATGTGTCTGTGTGATCAAGTTCAAAGGGAGTCACTCGTCGTGGAACTTGGGCAACTTGTTACCAGGTACCACCACATGCTCCACCCCCGTTTCCGTGATCACCACCAGGTGAGCCACACCCCCGCTGACGTTGTCTCTGCCCATGGCCAGAGCAAGAGCTGTGAGCAGAGAGACAGAGGGATGAAGCAAAGGGAGGGCAGAGGAGGAAGGGAGAGAGACAGGGACAAAAACCAGTAGAATTATAGGTCAAGTTAAACAAGTACAGACATGCAGTGTATGACATACAACTACCAACTCACCAACAATAATTTAATTGTGTTTAAAAATGATTTTCATTTAACTCTTTTCCTTAATAGCACACAGAAGCCTTTGTCTTATAAAAGAGGTACATGCAACACTGCAGATCCAAAGATATTGAGCATGTAAGAACATAAACGTCACCTAATCTGAACTCCTTCTTGTTAATATTAATCTAACCTCTCATTTCAGGTCATACTTGTGTCACTTAGGTTTACTCAATGAGAACTGAGCAAACTTTATATGTTGCTGAAGACCGTGAGAGGTTGTTGAAAGTCCTGGAAAACCTTCAGTTAAGATTTTTATGTCAAACTTTAATATTTTTAATAAATAAACAGATTTGCCAAACATAAATCCTTATCTCTGTTAACCCCTTCATTCATATTAATACATTTTCATGGAATACAAACCCAGTTCTCCCCAAAATCTTCAAACCCTGACAAAACAAATACAAACATATTAAAGTTTGGGTACAAAAGTAAAATAATACAAGAATACCATTAGTGGCAAACTGTAGGCATTCGTCTCTGCTCATGTTGGGTTTGTATTTGGCGTCAACGTAGCCGTAGATGTAAGTGCTGCCTGAGCCACCGATGGTAACCGGCTGACTCATTAACATCCCGCCTAGAGCCACGACGTACACCTGGAGAAGGATGGAGAATATCAGTAACGCAGCTGTATGCAACGAGGTGGACTCACTATCATCATCACTGCTTCTCTGATGTTTGACTGCCTTCACAACCATTTCCTACCTGTGGCCCTTTCTTCCTGTCCCAGCCTGCTGTGATGAAGCCGGCCTGTAGTTCATCTTTGTTTTTGTAACACAGTTCTTTCAGCACCGATGCTGCTGATATCACTAGAGGAGGAGACTCCATCTGGACACTATGGATCAAGAAAGTTCAAGAAAGATCTATTTTAAAGTTTGTGCTGTTGGCAAGAGAATAGACTTTGAATCTATTATGTGTGGTCTCAGATTCTCTGGATTATTTTGTGTATGTGATGAATCAATGTTGTGTTAACTGCATGTGTGTGAGACAGATAGAGCACATACAGGATATGGGTATTTGCATGTTTTTGCATGCACACAACTGTGTACGACTGTGTCCTCGCTGAGGAATAAAAGCCAGTCTGGAAGTTTGAAGATTTGGGATTAGTAAAATTATTTAAATTTGAAATGTGATGTGTTGTGTAATATTTGCCAGTGTATTCATATGTTTGTGTGTGTGGCACCTGTGGAAGGACAGGTGGAACTTTGCAGCCTTGGTGACGGCCTGAGCATCTGCGAGGGAGCCAGCCATGCAGCAGAAGATCTGGTCATGAACCTGAATCACCTTGTTGATGGTCTTAGATGATACATATTCTCTGAAGAGAGACACAATGAGAGGATGAACAAAGCTCTCAGATAGACTACATACATACACATTTGCAGCAGGGAGAAGAGACGTTGTTGAAGTGTTATCATTAAGCCAATAAGCTCTTCATAATATAGGAAAGAGGTCCCACACGTTTCCAAATCAATAATATACATATACACTATTGAGCAAAATAATACACAACCCTCTGATTCAGGTTTTAGTCTGGTATTAAATGTTACATATGTAAAAAATATATAAGTAACATCAGCAAAAAGTACTCAGTAATATGTTATTGGATTGGATCAATGTGTAAGAAGCATTTTACTATTGGAACGTTGAGCTGAAGCTAATTTAAATGGCTTTATTTGGTTAAATATATAACAATGCATTATATTTTATAAGCTCATCAGATGTTGTGCATGTAAAGTCTTAATATGTTAAGTAACTTGCTGCAAATAAATGAGCTGCAGTAAAAAGTAAAACATTTCCCTCTGAATTGTGGAGCAGAATTGTAAAGTAGCATGAAGTACGTCAGATTTGTACTTAAATCCAGTACAGTCACATTCCACCACTGAGCTGAGAAATACATAAAAACTTGACTGCAGAAGTTTTAAAATTTTCATAAAATGTTGTTATTATTTATGTGCAGAGTTTTGTTTCTGTGTATCAACTTAAATGTGTGGATTGTTATCATGGATGTTTTCAAGCAGTCCCTCTTCTGTATAAAGGAGTTCAACAATAAAGGCAACTTCAGTGTATCATCCTCACCCTCCCATGGAAGCCCTGGAGTCTGACCCAATCACGACCCCTCCATCAAAAGTGGCAGCCAGGATGGTGGTCTGAGGGAGGAGAGAGGAGGAGAGTGTGATTGTTTATACGTTTAGATCCTCCAGGATATGGCAGAAGAGAAATATACACTCAAATATACCATAGGGGTCTACAGTATCATAAATACTACTCCATGTTCATTTACGCTGACTGAACACTATGAATTCTGGGATTTAGAGTTCTGTGGAGGGAGGTTTTTTTTAAGGGGATATTAACTGAAAATGAAACCGTAGTCAGACGTTTTTTGTAGAAATGTGACAAATAAACTCAGTCAGGGCTAACATGGGAACAAGTTACTGATAATAAAACACGTGGAATATCCAGTCGATGACATTTCTCTTTGTGTTAAGTCACTATTCAGGTATAGCATCACCTGTTCCTCCGCGAAGTCGATTATCGATCATTTTACGCGTAATAGGCGTTGGTACAGCATTTATAGATAAAGTTACTACCTAAACGGTCCGGATTTACTCACCCCTGTGCTGACTCCTTTGACTTGTGAGTTCGTGCAGTGTTTCTCCATTTTCACTCCAAAATCGAAAGAGAAGAAGGAGAGGTGACGCTCAGAACAGCGACCTCAGGCGCACGGAGACGCGCAGAGAAGCCGCAGTCACATCCAGTATGGCGCTATCAAATGTCCTCGAAACTCCTGCAGCGGGGTTTAATTTCGACAACGCAGCGAGGTATGAGCTTCTTTTTATGTCTTGTGAGCAGCAGACTGTATCAATAATAACAGTAGATACATTTAATCTGACGGTTACACTGAGCTTTCACCGGGATCAAAAGTGAAAGTAACTTTTTCCTGCTTGTTTATCAGTTTAATCAATGAAACAATAGTGATGATGTGTTCACGGTTATTATAACTATTATATTTATATTCCTCAGTTTATGCTCCTATGTTACCCCCTCCTCCATCCATCTCTCTAGGAATGCTGCATTAGAGGGTCTTTTTGATGGAGGACAGACACCTAAACCTCTGAAAACAGGCACCACGATAGCAGGAGTGGTGTTCAAGGCGAGTATAAAGCAGTTCACACTGATAAAATTAATGGACCTAAACAGTGTTTTTTTCCATGAACTATGAATTGGAGACTTTGCATTGCTTTTCAAACAGATGTATTTTATACATAACAGCATGCTGTTAAACATCAAAGTTATCTCTATGGTTGTGTAGTTGTGAGCACAGATTCTGTATTCAAGGCCTCTCAAACCTGCAAACAACTCTCCAGTTATGTTATTAAGTCGTGACAAAACCCCACACATTTAGTATTTACTGGCTTTAAAAAATGTTGCTGTTTAGCAGGAAACTCATAAATCTCATATTCTGGAGCATCACTGAACACAACAAGGAAAGTGTTTTATATTAAATCCAACTTTACAAGTATTGAGACAAAGAAATACAGTGTTATAAACTCCTTGTTCGCACTGGGATTGTCACAATGCATAACTTTGACAGTAACATAGATTCAATGAATGTCCACTATGATGATATGTTAAGGTAGTTTAAAATATCTGCAGTTAATGTTCATACTGATACCAAAGGCTGCCTGTAAGTTACTATGGAGAGCCATAGAGTAAAGACATTTATATAATTACTTATGCTTTTGTATGTTAAATAGTAAATGTGTCTGCAGTTGTAGATAATGGGCTAAAACATGCAAATATTCAATGGTTATAGGAAGTTGAAATACTTATCCATTCCACATTGGTGGTGTAGTTGTGTCTGATATTTCTCAGCAACACAATATTTTATTCATTCATGCAGTTCCACACATTTTCACATAGGACCTGTCCAGTTCACCCACAGTCATCCACTGCTGGCAGGCAACTGAGATTTTAGGGCCTTTCCCCAGGGCACTGAAAAGGGAGTAGTATGGAGCTGTATGGAGCTTTGGAGCTGTTGTTGTATGCTAGGCACATAAATATAATTTGCATAATAAACTTGGTTACTATTGTCCCAATGTGTCTGTGTTGGTGCAGGATGGGGTGGTGCTGGGCGCAGACACAAGAGCTACTTCCAGTGAAGTGGTGGCCGACAAGATGTGTGCAAAGATCCATTACATTGCTCCCAATATATAGTAAGTCTCATACACGGTACACTGAAAACATGAATGGAGTGATTTCCAAAATTCCCTATAGTGGTCTTTTCCTGTCTGACTTCCCAATTCCCTTTTTCTTTTCTTCTAATCCCTTCTCTCTTCTTTCACAATCTCTCTCTCTCTCTCTCTCTCTCTCTCTCTCTCTCTCTCTCTCTCTCTCTCCATAGTTGTTGTGGAGCAGGTACAGCAGCAGATACAGAGAAGACCACAGACCTTCTCTCCTCCAACCTCACCATCTTCTCTCTGAACAGCGGGAGGAACCCTCGTGTCGTCATGGCTGTCAACATACTACAGGATATGCTGTACAGGTTTGTGTTACACATATGTACTGCATCTAGAGGCGTGTTAATGAGTTTAACTCACAGTTCCTTAAAAAAAAACGTCCTGCTTCTTGTGTGTTGGAATCTCTGGCCTTCAGGTATCACGGCCAAATTGGTGCCAATCTTATACTGGGAGGAGTAGATTGCACCGGGAACCACCTATACACAGTGGGGCCATATGGGAGCGTGAATAAGGTGCCTTATCTTTCAATGGGTATGTGACATAAGACTATTACAAGCAGTGGCAGCACCGTTACTGTGACATCTTTTCTTTGATTCTTTGTTGGTGGAGTTTATGTGATGCTGTTCAGTTGTGCTGTTCAATTCAGTTCAACTCATTTTTATGTTTATAGCACAAAATCATAACAAAAGTTATCTCAGTACATTTTTCAAACACTCCTTATGAAATTATTTGCTATAATATACTAATATAAATTATGTCAAACATTTTTGTTTTCTGCAGTTATATATTTTATTCACTCTCCAATCTGTTTAATCTGTCTTTACTTTGTCTCCATGCAGGATCTGGTGATCTGGCTGCTCTTGGGATTCTAGAGGACGGGTTCAAACACGACCTGGAGGTACGTCACCTGGACATCTAAATATTGTGACAATGACTGTTAGTCGATTATTTAGACATTATCACAATATTATTTCACTTACTTTTGGGTATCTTTAAGTCAATTGTAGCACAGTTGAGAAAATGTTAAAACCATTAATTTTCTTCCCTAATGAAAGAGTGTTTAGGTATTTGGGATTTTAAAGCTGATGAAGCCCTTTGTCTTCTTCATGTTGACTCATCTCTCCATCATTTCCCTGATTTCTCTTAACTCTGTCAGCTGGAGAAGGCGAAGGAGCTGGTGTGTGCCGCCATCCACGCAGGCATCATGAGTGACCTCGGCTCAGGCAACAACATCGATATCTGTGTCATCACCAGAGAAGGAGTGGACTACATCAGACCCTACCAGGAGTCAGAGTACAAAGACAACAGGTAGGCCAGTATGAGTATGACTTTATTCAAGAAGAACAGATTCAGTGGTCACATATTTGAAGAGAGTTTTGTTGAGTTTTTATGTTGAACCATATTTGCAAATCAGATTTTCTTCTCAGCGAGTGGTGAATATCTTTAATCTGTCGTTGTCACTGTGATTATTAATTCAATTAAACTATCTATCTATCTATCTATCTATCTATCTATCTATCTATCTATCTATCTATCTATCTATCTATCTTTTCTCTCCTAGGAAAATGAAATACAAATATCGTCCAGGCACGACGGCGGTTCTGACAGAGAAAGTAGTCCCCTTAAAGCTGGAGGTTGTACAGGAGACCGTGCAGCAGATGGATACAGCCTGAGCCACGATGCACAATCACACACAGACGAAAACATTTAGCAGTCTTTAATTACATAACACTGTTAAACATCTCAGACATTTTATTAACACTGTCATCATGGTTTCTGTTCTGCTGCTGTGCTTCACTGTGATGTGAAGAAGAGTAGGCCACAATGAGAACAATATTCACAATATGCAATGATAATAAAAAAATATTGAATAAATTTCAGTTTGATCTCTGTTTCCTAATTTCTTTTCATGATTTGTTATTTGTCTTTACTGTGCTTATTATTATTATTATTATTATTATTATTATTATTATTAACAGACCAATAAAAAGAACGCTGCTGCATCTTATGTTAATGTTATATGTCATACTACATCATGACATTGACCTAACTGCATTAGATAGTGTATTTTTTTTAAACTTATTTAGTATACAAACAGGTATTAATACTGTGATTCACCTCAGCTGGCTTCTCCAAACCTGAGTGTTGCCTTTCCGCTTAGAGACTGATGACGAGAAACATATAGTGCTCTGCTATTGGTTTCTGTAGTTCCGAGCCATCTTTTAATTATAGATCAATACCTTCTTTTAGTCCTAGGTATTTTATTTTGATCAATTAACTATTTAATTTACAAATAATGGCCATGATTGTTCAAAAATGTATAAATGTGCACCGGTTTTATGTTTCTGACTAATTTTGAATTGTTATTTTGAGACGACAAACTACATAAAACTGTTTCTCAATCCTTTCACTTTCGAATTCTTTGTCACGAACAAGGAAATTATCATTGACGCTTTGTCAATCAGCTTCGTCGTTTTGGAAAACATAAAACCCCAAACTACAGACTATAATCAGAATTAGTTTATCCACTTTAACACACGATGGCTCTTTTCGACGTAAGTGGTTTTAAGTCTTATTCTGAACTCCGGGAGCAGATTCTTCCAGCAGGACAGACACATCTTGTTGACCGAACCAACCACTACAATTTCGGGACCAAAATTCAAGAATTTGCTCTTCCTCTGGGTGTAGACGTGAGTATCTTGAGTTTTGGTAAGAAATAAATATAGTGAATCCTATCCGGTAAACCTGCCATAAGCATGAAGCGTCAGACGCGGTGTGGTTCAAGTTATTTTACGCGTCTGTGGTTTTCAGCGTGTTTGCTTCTTATGAAATATCATATCATGCATTTATCTTAACTATCACGAGTTGTTGTCAAAGAATATTAGGTTATGATGGATATTCCACTCTCATGTTGCTCACACATATACAGCGTTTTTACACGTTATGCGTCTAAGATCCCTTCTTTGATTTCATTTTAGCCTTCAGGGTTTCTCAAGTCCTGCAACCATGACGGAGGTGTGTGTATAGAGCTGAACCATGGTACGACCACCCTGGCCTTCAAGTTCAGACATGGAGTCATTGTGGCCGTAGACTCCAGAGCCTCAGCTGGACGATACTTAGGTAAATATGCATGTCTGGAAAATTATGGAAAATGTGTTATTTCTCTTCCAGACCTGGAAAAGTTTGCAGAAAGTGGAGCATACAATGCATAGCCCGTCATTCCACATAGTCTGACAGCCTAGCTTCTGTAAAGTCCCTTACAGTACATCATATCAAATTCTCATTGATTCTCGGAACAGTGGTCTCAAAGAGCAGCATGTGGAATTTAGAGACCATGGACTAAAAAGGTGCTGATACAGTGGGCTTCATCATAGTGTTGACATGCTTCAGACTGTAATCTTGGTCACTAAATGTCTCCTTTTCCCAAATGCTCTGCAGCATCCAACGATGTCAACAAGGTCATAGAGATCAACCCCTACCTACTGGGCACCATGTCAGGCAGCGCTGCAGACTGCCAGTACTGGGAGAGACTCCTGGCCAAAGAGTGCAGGTCCGTCATGCAGTGTTTTGAATATTGGTCCCATTGTCAGTCAGTCCCTTTTGTCATTTAACGTTCTATGTATCTGTGTATTGGTGGGTTTGGTGGTGTATTACTTGCTGTTTGTATTCTGTGCTTCAACATTTTATCTGGTTCCTGTTTTAGAGCTTCATGACCTTATAGATTTAGTGTAACAGTTGTGTTAATGAGTTGGATATATAGTCGAGTAATGTCAGATCAATCACAACAAAAGAAACTGGAGAAAGCTCAATGATTTAGTTTTATTTGACTGACAGAAAGAGGTTCAGTGGTGCACAGTAAGAAAGTCCTGGGCTCCAGGTCCTAACCCCACATGGGCCTCCTATGCGAATGTCATGTGAGGACACGTATATTACACAAGGTACTATATGAACTATCAAAGCTTCTTTATCAAGAAATTAACACAATAAATCAAAGTAACATAACAGATTTACATTTAGATGAAAACATGCATAAAATACATAAAATACTGCCAGGTAAAACAGTTTTTTCAGTGTTGGTAAGCACCAAGTTCAGGCCAATCTGGACTAAATGCATGGCAGATTGATTTGTCTATGGATTTGCTTATGAACTGGTTGGTACCTTCTTTTATTATTATTTCATCCAGGCTGTACAGGCTGAGGAACAACCACAGGATCTCTGTAGCTGCTGCGTCCAAGCTGCTCTCCAACATGATGCAGGGTTACAGAGGGATGGGCCTCTCTATGGGAAGCATGATCTGTGGATGGGACAAAGAGGTAAGCTGTGGGTTTGGTTGTGAATGTGTGAGTTTTACAATCCGCAGTGTTAGGAGCATTTATAATCTTTTTTATCACTTCATGTGAAACAGAGCCTCATATTGTACCCAATTTATTGGTATAGAAATTAGAAATTTTGCTGGTAGAGGATTGTAAAGTTGTGGTCTAATTTGGATAATAATAAGAATTTATTTTAAAAATGGATACTTGTTTGTTATCATTAATTATATTTACTATCAATGACACTCAATGACAAAGTCACTTTATTCCTTTTCACATGGCCTTCATCATTGTAAAAAACATTAAAATATAGACACCACTTAGATAACATTGACACTCATGTATTAATGTATTATAATATTATAATATAAGCTGTTTAGGAAACATTTACACAGAAACCAGTTAACAGTCAAACTAGGGAAAAGAGGGATTTATTGTAAACACAACATATTTAAATATTAGCTACATATCAATATGACATATAAATAATACTGATTGCCGCCACCAGTTGCCTATATCTTCAAATTCATGTAAGTATAATTTCTTTAGTGAGTCAGGTATACAATCCTGAAATATTAGAAGATATACGTGAACACTGAAGGCATCATTGATGGAGCAGCTCATTAAATTATATTCGTTTTATGATTGTCACTATTTGGAAGTACTCTTATCAGAAACAGGGGCCTGTATATAAAATAATAATTGTCCTGCAGACCATATAATGACTCTGTGCTCTCCAGGGCCCAGGTCTGTACTATGTAGATGATAATGGGACGCGTCTGTCTGGCCGTATGTTCTCCACCGGCTGTGGTAACAGTTACGCCTACGGTGTGGTGGACAGCGGTTACCGGGAAGACATGACAGTAGAGGAGGCGTATGAACTGGGCCGTCGGGGCATCGCTCACGCTACACACAGGGATGCTTATTCTGGAGGAGTGGTCAACAGTGAGTATACTCTGATAATGCTCTTAAATTTAGTTTTTGATTTAACATTTAAGTATATCTTGTATCTCTATTAAAGATATTATTTTTATCACAAGCAGCATTGTTGATTGGTCGGTTCACTTTGGTCCAGACTGAAATCTTATTTTTGTGTAGATTTGTGGGAATATGTGTGTAGGCCTGTATGTGATATTTTTGTGTGTGTGTGTTTGTTTAGTGTACCACATGCAGGAGGATGGCTGGATAAAGGTGTGTAAGGAAGACGTATCAGAGCTGATCCACCGCTACAGGAAGGGAATGTTCTGAGTTTTCAAACACAGATAAAGTTCAGCTCTCTGAGTACAGTCCAGTGATGTGTTTCTTTCCAAAATTATGTGTTTTTTTTATGTTTCAATGTATTTTATATCTATATATATTGTATATTGAAATAGTTGACACCTGATTTTGGAAATGAAAGTGTGTAAGGAAGTGTGTGGTCCATTTCTGATTTTAGATCAATGAGTCAGATCATTAAATGCTACGTAGAACCATTTCTTTCTTACATATGAACCTAAACTTTGCCGGATCCAATTGTCAATTAAATAGTTAACATCTTTGTTTGGTTATGGTTCTTTATATTATGTATTGTTGGTACTGTACATGATGATACTCTTGATATGGTTTATGCTAACCAGCACATCCTGTTAAAATAATATCAAAACTGCTCTAAATAAAGGCTGTCGTTCAACTTACTGCTTTGTCCTGTAATGATTAACCTGAACAGATACATTAAGTTGCTTTATGATATAGTGTCAAGCACAAAATTCATGACAGAGCTAGTATGTCACTGAAAATTAAATAGTAAAATATGTTGACATGATGGGTAATCTATAAATATCCCTGTAGTCTCCAGTCTCTTTTTTTACTGTCAACTGTGTATTGATTCAATATGATTGTGTCATCACATTTTCAACACAAGGTAAATCTATATTGTGTTATATAAAATCACTTATAAATAGGCTTTGTTTCTATGGTTTATTAAAAAAACAGGTTGGTCAAACCACTTAAAACAATAGGCTTTGTTTCTATGGTTTACTATATAATACAGGTTGGTGATACCAAAACAGCTGTGATGTCATCTGTTTCCATGCAGAGCTCAGTCACACAGGTTTTGCCCGTGGAGGTATTGATCTTCACGAAAAAAGGTCAGTCATCATTTTTACAGGTCTGTGAGGATCTGTTTGTATTCTCCTGCTTCAGTTAAAATTTGAAAGTCACAGAAGTCTAGCAGTAAAATTTATGCCTTAAAAAGAACATTATATATATTATGGGCCATATGACTTTAAAAATAGTAACAAAGTGTCACAACTATATTAACTATATGATATACAGTAGGTGAGTGTATATCTTTGGTTTATTGTATACTGTAGGTACATCCTACACACATACATACAGTATACATATAAAAATAGAGTTGATTTGGAGAAGCCACAGAACTGGAGAATATCTTGGCAGCGTAACGTCATCAGTTGTCAGGCAGATTTCAGTGCAACAGGTTTTTTTTTAGGGGAAAACCAAATCACCACACTGGATACATACAATGAGAAGAACTGAGTGGCTATCTCTTAAAGTCTATACACTGATAACACACACACAATGAGACATAAACAGACAAAAATGAATCAGAAGTTTTAAACATTTTATCGTTTTTTTCTTCTTATCTTTAATTAATACACCTACGTGCCTCCTATGATACACAAAACATTTGAAGACCCTTCTTATTAAAGTCAGCAGTAAACAATACCTACACATAACACAGAATCGTCATCACTATAATTTTCTTCTCGTGTGAAAAGCCAAATTCCTCATTGAGCTATCTGTAAAGAATTTTGTTCTACACGTTCTCCAGTTTAACATCTACAGAGCTGTGCTCATTTAGTCTGTTTTAAACATGAAAACTCAGGCAATATTCATATAACTGTAGCTACAGTCACAAATGTGTAAGAATATATGCAGAAACACAAAAAGACACTATTGGACTTGGACTTGACAGGACTTTATTGAAATCAAAAGTACAAAGGGAACATAACAGTTGAACAATTTAATCTGAGATTAATCCACTCAATCCAACACAAAAAGTAATTTTGAGTATTTTCTAGAAAACTAAGAGAGAAAATGTCCCTTGTCCCTAAATATTAGCAAGTATTTTCAAAAAGATTTCTATCAGTGCTGAGAAGCTTAAAACATCCCACAACCCTTTCAGCTAAAATTTAAATATAATAGTTTCCAAACTAATTAAAACAGAGATATTATGAAAACAAAAACAATAACAATAACACACTCTTGTTTAATTCAGAAAAATCTCAAAAACATAAATTATATACTTTGGCCTGATTGGAATCAAAACAACATTTTTAAATTTGATCACTTTTAAAGAAATAAACAAGCAAACTATTTACACAACTGGAAACTAAATTCTGTCCTGATTCTTATATTGTTTGTTTGTGTGTGTGTGTGTGTGTGTGTGTGTGTGTGTGTGTGTGTGTGTATGGGGATGGGCAACATTGATACAACCTATCACTGTTTATTCAGTATTTGCATGTATTTCAAGATGTTGAACAGTTTCTGTAAATTAAACCATGTAGCAGGAAACAGGTGGAAATGTGTGTCCAATGAATTATTTACAAATCCAGATAATTCAAACCATTGAAACAAAACCCTCCACACCGTCCCACTGATCCAGCTGAGAGCACAGAGGACGAGTCAGCCAGTGCACAGTGGGAGAGGTGAAGAAAGTTTATCACCATTGTATTCTTACATTAACACCTACAGACAGTACAGAGTGTCCAATATAGGAAGCATAATTTTGGATGTTGCTGATTGATTTGCAGTTTTGCTTCCAGTGATCTAATACAACCAGAGAATAAAATAACTATTTATTTTCTTAATATATTAACTCTCTACTGGTTTACAAATCTCTCTTATCTTAAGGTATCAAATCGCCATATCCTTGGAGTATATGCAGGGGAATCCATGGATGTGTGTGTGTGTGTGTGTGTTTGTGTATGTGTATATGTATATTTACATTTCTATTACAGATATTGATTTTACCAGAAAACCCCAACACCAGAAGTATTAAACTATAACTATGGTGGATTTGTTTAAGATTAACACACAAATCTACGTATAGAAAGTGCTGTGATGCTTTCATTCATTTTTTTTTAAATATCTTGTTTTACTTCTTTACAGTTAAGAGCAAAATATGATTGATCCTCATTTGATTGACCAACATTTCATAATTTAATGTCGCCATTTATGTTTATATTTGTAATGTAAAATGTTTGTAAACTAATTTATCAAATTTGTGTTCTTTGTATTCCAATTAATAAGCATCTACTACTAGATTTCCAACCCTGATCAGTTTATTGTATGTGGATGAATTATCAATGAATTCCCAGTTTACGGAGGAGAATGTGGAGGGACCGCTCCTCGTTCGAGTGCAAAATGAATCCATAAACCTAAAGAGAAAAAAAACATTACATAAAATAGAAAACAAAATAATTTCCTAAATGTTTGCGGAGATCATTTCCACAAACCAACAAATTTAAAGAATCATTCAGACATTAAATATCCATAATTAAGTGTTAATATTTAATAAAACAAGTATTTACCTTCTGTGCTTCTGAAGAACAGTTGTTTTAATTTAATGTAATTTTAATAAACATTTGTCATTGTTTTTCTGAAGGTTAATATTTGAGTTTTAACATTTCACTTTATCTGACCTACTGATCTAAAGGTTTCTGGAAGCTGATACCTTTTCTTAATAATCTTAACTTCATATAAATGTTTCACCATGGAGTATTAGGGCCAGACTTTTTGGGGGAAATTACAAGAATAAAGTCGTAATATCGAGAATAAAGTTGTAATATTATGAGAACTGTCAGCCTGTTGGCCCAGCCAGCAAAACTGTTTAACGACAAAATGATCAATACGTTAGTTTACCTGTTGACTGTACGGTACGACTGAGACAAACAGCGGCTGCTGGAGTCAGGCTGAGGCTGCTGTTTGGTTGAGCTGCTCAAGTCTGATCTTGATAACTCTATTGAAGCTTTTTTCTCATTAAAATGACTTTTTTTCTTGTATTATTATTACATTATTCTGGTAATATTATTATGACTTTATTCTGGTAATATTATGACTTTATTCTCATAATATTGTGACTTTAATCTCGTAATTTCCAAAAAAATAAAAAGTTTTTCTTTTAGTCTGGCCCTAATACTCCGTTGTGTGTTTCACCTTTGTTGTGGAAATAAACTGAAAATCAAATATTTTCTTTACAAAGTGTCACAGAAGTTTTACAGTGAATAAAGTTATTTGCACTTTAAGTTAAGGTAGCTTTGTTTAACAACAGGTGTGAATAGTTCATGTCTGATAAGATGTAACTTACTGTGTTCAGATGGTGTTTTTGTTGTTTAGGCTTTTGGGTTCAGTTCCTCCATGACCTCAGGGTTGCTTATAGCTGTAAGGTCAGAAACACATTGTTAGCCCACATTCTGCTCTGAACTGACACTGTTAACGTATACACAACACATATATATATATATATATATATATTATAAACAGATAACAGTGAAAGAAAAGTTCTTCAACAGAAAATCCAGAAACCCTTTTTTATTCTACAGCATTCATGTAAGGTCAGAGAGAGAATAACAAGTTGTACTTACGAGATGGAGGGCGTTTGGCTGAAATAGAAAGAAAAGACAAAATGATTTATGTTAATTATTTCCAGTGTTGGCTGAAACAGATTTTGTTGTGTTGGGAATTAAATTTGTTTCACTTTTGCAATCTGGATAAAAGCAACAATTCAAAGTTAAAATCAAAATATTGACAAAATAGACACAGTTTCTGTTTCTGTAAATGGTAAATGGTCTCTCACCATTTTTCTTTTTATAGATGACGGCTCCAATCACAACAATGACGGCGAGAGCGAGAACAACCACTGCGGCAATGATGATGACAGTCGTGTTATCAGGTTTCTCTGTTGAGCAGAAAACAACAAAAATAGTAAAAACCTGAACAGATGAAGCAGGTTTGAGGAACCAGAGTCAGACACCAAATGTTAGTTTGTGCTGCTGTTACTTGTCTGGATTTATTTACTGTATCAATGCTTGTTTATCTGTATGTTGGTTTCTGTCCCATAATGTTGGTTTTTAGCACAATAACAACTTCTGACAATCATATTTAAATTCCTTTTGACTGTCACCATATTTGGCCAATAAACTTTATTCTGACTGATTTACTGATAGATATATACATTTATTCAGTAATTAAATCATCCACTCATCTTCTAAAACTGATCAGTAGTTTAAATCAATACAGTGTTTATAATCTGTGAACTGTGGTTAGATGTTAAAA